CTCACTCTGTAGAACAGGCTGGCCTCGAACTCACAGAGATCCGCCTGGCTCTGCCTCCCGAGTGCTGGGATTAAAGGCGTGCGCCACCAACGCCCGGCTGTGTGTGTAACTTTTAATACAAATACACTCGAATAAGTGAAAATTCCTACTAACAAGATACCCACTGGAAAGAAAATTTCAACACTGAGTCAAAGTTGAACTTTAGACTTTTGAATTGCTGAGAAATTTAACCATAAAAACTACTATTTATTATTAGAAATTAAAAAAACAAAACAAAACCAATCTGCATTACCGATGTCATGGGATTCACGCCTTCTACACCTGGCTGACAAGCTTCTGCCACAGCCCGAACATGGCCATAGCCAATGGCAGTTAGTAACAGTTTGGCTATTTTAAGAGCATTGAGGTAGGCACCCCTTCGAGTTTCCATATCTGCATTTGGTAGGAAGTTGTTTCTGGTTAGCATACTCAGGACAAGGGGTAGACCACCACTTTTCAAGAAGTGAAACTGAAAATCGGAGGAATCATCAGCGAGGGGTGCACCAGCAGGCATTAACAAGGCATAGACTACCTGAAAATAAAAGAGGGAGGGGAAGAAGGGAAGGAGTGTATTAAAAAGGATTTTAAACATAACCTCCATTTTATCAAAGACTGTTAAGATATTCTTGACCGTTTCAAAAACATCTAACAATAATCTTATCTATATTCTTCACAGTAACACATCAAAGATGAAATTTAAAGAACATGAACTTCAAAATTGAAAAATCAAAAACCAACCTCTGTTAGGTATAGCACTTGTGAGGCAGAGGGTCCAAAGAAAAGTGAGTCAAGAGACGGACTAAGGCTGCTTTCTCCAAGTTTGGCATGGTCCAAACAAATAGCTCTTAATTTTTCTATTGTTGTACTATCTGTAAGGAAGAGAGAGAGAAAGCACAGTCTGAAATAAAACACAATTCACATCTATATCACTTCTAGCATTTTCAAGAGCATAGAACAGCAAACAACTCAGGTAAGCTTCTAAAGCATAGAGCCATATCTGAGTTGATTTAAAAGCAAACAAATGAGAGACAAACAAAACACTAATCAAAGCCTTTTAACACTCAAGGGACCAGTCTCTCATCCAGGAGCCTCCAGTCAACATGCTCTATTCAGCTGCAGGAGACTGATTTTTAAAAAAACACTTGCAAATGAATAGTTCTTACCTCCACATTTACTGTTTGCCTTATGACAGTATGTATTACCTACTTTGTTTCGACAGAGTGACATCACTGTACCCAAGAAATTGAACCTTAAAAAGACTGAAGAAGGTGAAGAGGAGGAGGAGAAGCCTGACACTGCAGTGCATACCTTTAATCTCAGTGCAGAGGCAGGCAGATCTCTGAGAGTTTGAAGACAGCTAGAGCTACATAGTGATACTCTGTCTCAAACAAACAAAAATGAAACAAACAATCAAAAACCTTGAGTAAATGATGGAACCAAAAAGTAGGACTGAAAAAGTGAGATCAATCTAGATGATTCAGTAGATTTATGTCCTTGCTACCAAACTGATGGATAACCCGAGTTCAATTCCTAAAACATACATGATGGAAAGAGGAAACTAATTTCTGAGGTTACCTTCTGACCTCCACATAAACATGTGGCATCTCTACAAAAAATGAATATAAAAATGCAACAAATATATAAAAAAAGTTTAAGGCCAAGTGTGGTAGTACATGCCTTAAGTCCCAATACTTAGGAGGTACAGCTCAAGGCTAGCCTAGTCTACATAGCAAGTTCAAAGCCAGCCAGAAATACACAGCAAGACCCTGTCACAAAAAAAGTTCAAAAGGATAAATCTTTGGGGCTGGAGCGATGGCTCAGTGATTAAGAGCACTGACTGCTCTTTCAGAGGACCCAGGTTTGATTCCCAGCACCCACATGGCAGCTGACAACTGTCTGTGACTCCAGTTCCAAGGGATCCGACATCCTCACATACATGAAGGCAAAAACACAAATGCACATAAAATGAAAATAAAAAAAAAAAAAGAACAAAAGCATTCCCAAGTCTGTATCTTATGCTGTGCAAAAAAAAAGTTCAAAAGGAAGCAACGAATACTAAACAAATCATTTAAATACTGTTTATCTATCTGAGGAGTCTGAACCAAATGATTGCTTTGTGGCCATTCCAGCCCTTACATATATGTATATCTAAATAATTTTATGCCCCTGATCATATACAAACTTTTTAATTATAAATATGGATGGAAAAAAATTAATCTACCCATAATCTTGCCATCAATAGATAACTGTGGTCTTGGGAAATTGACTTATTTTTTGGAGGATGAAGGACAACACTGAGGAGGCAGAGGCAGGTGGATCTCTGTGAATTATAGGCCAGCAAAACCTACATAGTAAGACCCTGTCTCAAAAAACCAAAAACCAAAACAATGAGAAAGAGAGACAGAGATAGAGAGAAAGAGAAGAGCTTACAACACACTTTGGAATATTTAAAAATATTCTTTACATTGAACTCCTTGAAGGAGGTAGCTCTTAGGAAAAGCAACTCATTCTACTTGGTAAAGCAATACATACTTTAACCAAATATTGGCTGTTTCAAATTCAGTTTACCCGATTCCATTTTTATATGGGTTCTGGGGATGGAATTCAGGTAGGTCATCAGGCTTCCGCCGTAAGTACAACTCAGCCATCTTACTGGTTCAAATTTAAGTACTAAATTGTGGTTTTAAAAAATATGAAGAAAAAGCAATCTTTTATGTTTTTTGCCTGAGCTTCTTGGCAAGAGCTCCATGTCTCCATCTGGTGGCAGGAAGTTCAAACCACAAGCTCAAGGCTTTGCTGTGGTTTTTTTTTTTTTTAATTTTTCGAGACAGGGTTTCTCTGTGTAGTTTTGGTGCCTTTCCTGGATCTCACTCTGTAGAACAGGCTGGCCTCGAACTCACAGAGAACCGCCTGTTAGGATTAAAGGTGTGTGCCACCACCTCCCGGCCGGGTTTGTGTTTTTAAACTATGTTGTGAGGGATCCGTGGTTGGTATGTAAAAATGAATATAAAAAAAACTTCTTAAATTAAAAAAGAAAGAATATGCAAGTAAAAAAACTATGTTGTGAAGGTTTAATCTGTACACATAAAGCAAAAACTGTCTTTGGCAGGTCAGGACTAAATGTAAAAAAAACAAGAGGAAGCCAAATCTATACAGCTGTCAATAAATTATCCAAGGTGTAGAGGGAATGAACAAAAAAATGTCTACAACTTGCCCACTTAAAAGACAGAAAGAGACCAGAGAGAGACTATTACAGTAAATGTTATTCAATTTTGGAGTTTTTGTTGTTGTTTTAAATATAATGTATTTTAGCCAGGCAGTGGTAGCTTTAATCCCAGCACTTGGGAGGCAGAGGCAGGTGGATCTCTGCTGAGTTCGAGGCCAGCCTGGTCTACAGACCTAGTTCCAGGAAAGCGAAGACTAGAGAGAGACTCTGTCTTGAAAAACCAAACCAACCAAACATACAAAACACCCAATATATTTCGATCATATTTTTCTACTTTCCCAACTTCTCCTATATCCCTAACCACTGTTCTCTTAAAAAAAAAAAAAAAAAAAAAAAAAAAAAAAAAAAAAAAAAAAAAAAAAAAAAAAAAAACCAGTAAAACAAAAAGTGCCAAAACAAAATAAA